CACCCCCCCGCGTTGGAATTTCGAAAAATCCTTTCTTAGTGTGCGTTTCCATGACGTACCCTAACTGTGTACCAAATTTCACCTCTTTAGGTTAAGCGGTTTGCCCTGGGCGATGATGAATCAGTGAATGAATGAGTGAGTCAGTCAGGACAAGCAATTTTATATATTTAGATTAAAACATTTAATAATTAATACAGAAACGTTGCCTTATTGTTAAAATAAAATTAATTTAATTAAGATTTGTGATCGAAAAATAAACTTTGTGATCTGAAATAATTCCATTCAACAAATTTTTATTTGCAATTTTAAAAATTTTTATGAAATTTTAATTTTGTGATTAGTATGTGTCAAACCACTACTAGTTCTGCATTAACAGAAGTGCTGACCAATAATTTCGTTTCTAAGTTTGGTACCAAATCCAGCATGCGATAAATAGAACTACTGTAATATAACAAAATATATAAAACACCATTGTGTAATTAACATCCTGTAACTCATTTTCCAGTTTCACGGCACTTAATATCAAATATATTTTTATGACCAATGTTTTGGGCACGTGATATGTTTCTTTCAAGTAAATGACCATTTTTGATATAAGTATTTTTATATTAGCCGAACATATAAAAACGATAATGCGATATACGCTTCCGTATGACAATAAGTGATTACTTTAAATGGATACGAACATGAAAAATGAAGTTATAATAGGTGCGTTATTAAACGTTTAACGTTTGCCAAAAATTACGAAATCATAATGAATTTTTAAAAGTTTTCCGATAAGTATAAAAAGTAGGCTTAATTCATTAACAATGGTTATAAAAAAATAAACAATAGAAGAGACATGTTTGTCTAGAATCATAAACTGGCTTTTTATTAATGACTAGGTAAATTTCATACATAAAAACATAGTAACAACTGCAGTAATAGGTGGCATCTTGTGCCAAGTAAATTAGCCTGTATTATTACAATAGGCACCGACTACATAATAAGTAAGTTATAATTTATATGTACAGTACTTGTATTTCATGATTAATATAGAGAGCAAAAATTTAACAGAAGTACAAACAAGTACTATTAAGATTTTAACAATTCTATGTTTTACTTATGAGTAAATACTACTAGTGATAGATATTTCTAGAAACAGAATTTAAAAGAAAAATCTTAACACGAATATACAAAAGATAGGTGAATATCGAAGACAATCCGTTGTTTTATAATTTAGTAATTTCTGTACTTTCTTTAAGATAATATCTATTCTTAGCAATTTTGTATAACTCATTCATTGAAGTTACTCCCGTGTTCTTTATCAAATTATAAAAAGTACCATTTACGTTCTTCAGTAATGCATACGGCGAGTCGAATTCTTGTAGTCTTCCTGTATATATTACCTAAAAATTTCAAATGTTATATTAAAAACACATGTATTTTATACTAGAAGTAGAAAATTCTTACCATAACTCTATCAGAATCGATGACTGTATGTAATCTATGGGCTATTGTCAGCACTGTACAAGATTTGAACTTGTCTCGAATTACTTTTTGAATACGGAAATCGGTGTTAAATATAAAACAAATAGAAAACTGTTTTAGATATCGAATTTAAGTATTAGCATTAGTATGAATCGCAAACAATAAAAATAAAAATAGAAAATGTAAATTTAAAATTTTATATTAATTAAGAATTTTTGATGCAGCCGCAGACCGCGTGTAATAAACAAAATATACAGTTGCTATGAGAGATTTCTTGGTATTGAATTTCACAAATTATGGATAATAAATTGCGCTGCATTAATTAAACGGAATGCAACTTGTGATAGGTTTGCCAAATAAATTGCCTTATGAAAAAAACATTGATCAGAAGTAGATTTCTTCCCGTCTGGGTTTAACTATGACTGGAACATGTGGATACAACTAAATCTGTGTGCATTCGTATAATGTTTCTATGTTTCTTAATCTATATAACACGGCGAATAATAGTGACAAAAGACTATTTATTTTCGTGGAATATTTACACCGGAACTCTATAGTTGTAAANAATTTTATATTAATTAAGAATTTTTGATGCAGCCGCAGACCGCGTGTAATAAACAAAATGTACAGTTGCCATGAGAGATTTCTTGGAATTGAATTTATAAAATTATGGATGATAAATTGCTTTATGGAAGAAACATTGATCAGAAGTAGATTTTTTCCTCTCTGGATTTAACAATGACTGGAACACGTAGATACGACTAAATCTGTGTGCATAAGTATAAAGTTACTATGTTTTCTAATCTATGTAACAAGGCGAATAACAGTGAAAAAAGACTATTTATTTGTGTAAAATATTTACACGGGCACTCTATAGTTGTAAACAAGACTCTGCCAGAGGTTTTTGTTTGATGTGGCTATAAGATGCTGTTACTGGATCAATGCTCTTACCAAATTTTAACATTCTTATATTTCAGGAATTAGACAAGTAAAGAAAACTCAGATAAATTTACCAGGCTTGTTCGTTACGCTATCTCGAAATTGGCTATCATCGTGTATTTGTTATAACTATAGAGCTACTTGTGAAAGAATCTAAAATGTGGTGACAGCACTGATTCAACAACGAAATTTTATTTCAATATCAATTAGTGTGATCGAAGATTCGAGTAACAACTCTCATTTTCTACAGACTAACAATTGTAACCAGAATGCCCATATACTGTATATATACTACAAGAACAAAAAGTCTTTGTCATCGTTTGAGCAAAAATAACACGAAGGCGAAATCTACTGTCAAGTTTTCCGTTGTATATCATCGCAATTTAAAACGTACAAATATTAAGTTATAAACAAATAAATGTATTATTTTATACATAAAATGCGAATAACATTACATGAATATGTACAGATTTAGTCGGATCGTGTGTTCCATTCATTGTTAAAACAAGACGGAACAAATCCGTTACTGATTACGTTGAAATAGAGACTCCCGTGAACCTCTGTTTAGGCCTAATCTTTTTACTTCAGCTCTATAATTCGTTGGGTTATTAATGGCAAGAGATAAACGTTTAGATTTATTCGGAATGCTTTTCTTTTGCAATTACAAACCTTTATATTTAGACATATTAAATTATGTTTAGGAAAAAGCTAACAGAAAAAAAGCAAACATCAAATAGACAGAATAACATTTCAAACCATAGCTGTTAATCACAACACCAACCATCAAGACCAAAAATCTTTAATTGAAATACATTCCTACACCATTGCATCTTTGCACAGAACATCGATGTCACGAATTCTCGATGATCGATTCAATATTACCCTTAAAATAAAATAATAGTTTATAAATCTCAATATCGATATCTTTTCAACTTCGTTCTTTACGTCCGTGGACTACAAAACATCCTTTCTTATACTCATCGTAAGTTTATGTAATGCGAACAATAAAAATTTGAAAAATGCTACTCATGATATTTCGGAATTACTTCGCATAATATATTTCTGTGAATACACGCGGATTTGTTTCTCGATACTCAGAGCTGTAGAAAGGTTTCTAACCACTCAGTCCATCGTTCGTCTTAACATTGGCTTATTATCAATCTAATTATTATTATATGAAACGTCTACCCATCCCATCTTTATCTGTGTCAACCAACATTACAGCCAATCTCTATGTACGAAATGAAAAATATCGCATAATCAGACACAGTGTTGCCGTTCCTAGTACATTTGTACTTTTCTGGTACATTTTGCCCTTTTCAGTAATTGAAAGTACATTTAGATTTTTAGTACATTTTCAGTACATTTAGATTTTTAGTACATTTTCAGTACATTATAATATTTCAAGTACCATTTACGGTACAAAATAATATTTCACGCCTTAACGAAAAAATGAGAAAAAATGAGTTTTATAAAGTCTCAGTCTCACTAGTGTCACTGCTTGCTAATTTAAATTATCCAATCACAACATACAAATGGTGTGTGTCCGTCGACATCAGCAACATCGATAGTTGCACGTAACGCCTTAGTTGCACGTGTAAACGGTCTTGACTCAGTGGTCTTCTTTCCAACGTTCAGTTGTCTGAACATTCTCATCAGGACCTTGACAAAATTTTTCATGCCACGTGGTCCAAACAATTCGACTCCGTCAAACAAAAATATTGGACAGGTAAGGAAATCATTGATTTTAAACTTTTGTCGTCAATAATATCAAAATATCCGTTAAGTCAGAATCAAATTATTACAGAAAATAGTTTTGAAATTGTACGAGTATAAATAATATAAATACTTTTATATTACTTTCTACCACTATAATTTAATTCTTAAATTATGAACTTCAATTTTAGTAATCGTAGTAAAAGAAATAACGGTTAATGTTACGTGTGGTTCCAAAATGGCCGCGCTTCCGACTGTTCCAAGGTCTATATCAAAAGGCCAGGACACGCGTGATCTACTTCTTCAGCCGCCATTTTGAGGTTTTTTTTGAGTCGCATTTTTTAAGCAATCAAGAATATAATAATATAATATAACAAATTTATAATTATTTTTTAAAGCACGATTGGTTATAAAATTAAGATGAAATTGAATAGTATTATTAATAAATGTTGTCAATGTAATGCTCATTATATAATAACTAATAGATGTGTAGATATATTTTTAATTTTAAATAGCTTTCAAAAGATTCCAAAAATAAGATTTAAAATTAAATTATTTGACAATAAACTATATAAATATATATAGACACGTAAACAAAGTATTCATAGAACTAGTACATTTTGAAGGAAAATAGTACATTTTTTGAAGGCGCTTCAGTACGTTTTGAAATTTCATTGCGGCAACACTGATCAGACAGTTGATAAATATTAATGTGTAAAGGTGCGACTATGCAGACGCGAGCGAGCGAGAACATGTGGCAAGACGCGATAAATATCAAAACTTGTCAGATATGTCCGAGAATCAGAAATTCGCTCTCGCCAGCGTTATTTCTCGCTTCTCGTTTGTGCATGGTTTTCCTTTGCGAAAACTTAATCGCTCGCAACCTCTCGCTTGCTCTAAATTCGTGTCTGCAAACTCGCACCCTAAGTTTTCACGAATTATTTATAAACTCTTAATTTAGAGACTATTGTAAAAGAAACGTATGAAAATTCTCTACACAAAACGAATTAGAAAGTAAAATAATTTATACTTAAATTTGCATAATTTTTAATTTTGTTTATTTTAACCTTCTATCTATATTGGATGTCGCTTCGTCCATCACAAGAATCTTATTTTCACGAAGAATGGTTCTGGCAAGACAAATTAACTGTCTTTCTCCCACGCTGAAATTTCGCCCTCCTTCTGACAAATGTGTATCTAATCCCCCGGGCAATTTATTAATAACTTCTTTTAATTGTACCTTTAATTAAAATATTTTGTATAAATGAGAATTGTGATTATTCATTAAAAGTATTAAAGAGAAAAATCAGGCAGTAAATTGTACTATTTATAATTACTTCTAACCTGTTCTATTGCCTGCCATAGCTGATCGTCCGAATATTCATTGAAAGGATCGATGTTCCTTCGAAGAGGACCGGTAAATAACATTGGATCCTGAAAAAATACTCAGGTACTTATTAATTGTTCGACTTTAAAATTCGTTTTTATACGAAATTAAATTGATCGAAGTATGACATAAGAAAATATTAAAATCTGTTTTATCAAAAGCTATCGTGAAAGACACACGATGCCTGTATTCGTAACGTATTAGCAGTGCTGTGATTGTCTTTTTCACTTATTAAACCGATTTTGGTACAATTAAATTTAATATTTTGGAAGTAATTGCTATGAGATTAGTTTACGTAATTTTTGTGATCAGTTTGTGATTTAATTAGTAATTCAGTAATTTTTCATCAATTTGACACTTGTTGGACCAGTGTAGTGCCAGATAATAAAATATTAGAGATTATCACATGTTCTTGTTTCTTATAACCTCCAATATGTTATATGCCACCGTCTTTGCAGAAATTGTTATAACATTTTGTTATAGTATAAGCTAATGAACAAACTTCCATTTGTTTTTTTTTCATTTTGTATAAGACTGAAGATTTAATTGATACGTCATCGCCATATTTGCAACATTAACAAATTACCGATCATTACCTAAACTGACAAACGTAATTTTTAACCATGGTAACTAAAGAAGTGTATATCGTCGGCCTTAACTTCAGTTTAGGTATCCAAACAAAACTAAAAGTATAAATAGGCAAACTTGTGTCGTTTTCAACAATGCCTCAATAAAAACAAATCAATAAAACCAACGAATCAATAAAAACGATTAAATCTGCCCCCATTATAGAATTTGATCGCGGATGCATTGTTAGTCATTTAATTTCTTAAGTAGCAATCCCAAGATTCTTAAAAGAAATTGTAGCAAAGTATATAGTATTGATAAACATACCAGTGCCCACTAGTAGGCAAATTGTACCGATAAACATATCAGTAAGCACTTAGTGGCCACCCATATATGATTGATGACATGGAGTGGCAGAAACTATCTAGCAAAGCAACAATGTGGTGCACGGTGCATATCGTTTCATTCTGAAACCAAGTTCCATTTGTGCTACTACTTAAAGCGCAAGGTTCGGCATTATTCCTCCCTGGTGCAAAAATTATAAAAACTAGACTTCTTCAGGGTAATGTTAAGTTGTGTGATTAGATAAATCCCAGTTATCATCTGTACTAGGCTGATGAAAAAATGCAGATGTAATGTCAACCTTATGAAGTTTTGACGCATCTTTAGGCCAAAACAGCACTAGCGGAAAAACAGGCGTAAACCCCTTGCCGTAAAAGCTTTTAATCACGTGACTCTGATATTTTACGCCTGAGCAGGTCGTAAAATATTTTTCGGCGAGGGGGTTTTACGCCCGTTTAATATCGTAGATTCTCGGCCTTAGAAGTTTTGTTCATGGCAGTGTTAGCTATGTAATAGTGTGGGAAGAATTGTCATAGGCCTCATTAAAAATATTCAAGTCCTTAAATATTTGGGTTTCAGAATAAGATTAATTATTACTTGCATATTTTCATGCATCATAAAGAAAATCGTGCATTTCAGCAGTACAAATAGTCACTTCACCATGTCGTTGTTGGCCAGACTTTGCTCAACAAACGTTATCTAGAATTTTTAATTATTTAGTGGCCTCCAAGTCTCCAGATGTAAAGCCAATTAAATATCTCTAGAATAATGTTGAGGCGAATATTTGGTTTGAAAAACCCATACGACGTGTAGGGCGGACTTAAGAAAAGTGCAGCAACAATATTTTCAATAATACTTCAGCAATTGCTGTCACGCTTCACAATATTCACTCTAAGGATTGTGCCAGAATAGCACCTGTAAACTAATTGTTTGATCAGTCAGTGAAAAACATTTAACTATGCAGTCGTTTATTTGTATTTTAAACAACTAGGAAAAAAATTTTCAAAAAAGTCAGAGCCATTAAATGTTTTCAAAAATGAGATATTTTAACACCGTAAACTAAATAAGCACACGTGAAAAATATTAGTCATTCTTTCCCAATTACTGAAAACACTAAAAATTATTTAGTTCCATTAATAATTTGTATTGTTCGTTATATCTGTGCACACGTATCTGTTTTCTATATCACTGAAGTTTTTTAACATTTTCCGCCTCGAGGGATGTAAGTGGACGTTTTATAAAATCTATTTTTGGCTAAGCCACGTTCACAATAAACAGACTGGATCACAGACCTCCTTATAAAAAATTTCTTAAATTTCTTGACAGATCGTAATGCGATTCAGAATCACACCTTAATCGTTGTAATATCATCCAGCATATAATCAATTAAATTGTATATTTTATTTTGTACAAAAATGTAATATTTATATTAGAAAGTAGCGAAAAAACATGTTTCGTAGTATCAAATACGAAGTATCGACTAGAAATTATTTTGTCCGAATTAATTATTACTTACTTGAGGAATGATGGATATTTTACTACGTAGATCACTAAGACCTATTACCTTAGTGTCAACTCCATCGATGGTTATTGTTCCCGTTGGCTCTGTCATGCGAAATAACGAAGCAATTATAGAACTTTTTCCTGCTCCTGTTCTCCCAACAATTCCAATCTGCAATTAATAAATAATAGAAACCATTTAACATAATAATTACAAGCAACTCTCTTTGAATTAGAAATGTTTTACCTTTTCTCCCGAGCGAATACGAAATGTCAAGTTCTTCAAAACAATATTTTTATCCTCGGAATATTGTAAAGAAAGATTATCGAAATGAATTTTTCCTCTTTGTGGCCAGTCTGAGGGTGGTCGTTTATTAGGCAAACTTTCGTACGATGCTTCCGATTTTAATTTGCTGTAGTTCAGTATGCGTTTAACAGAATTCATCTGAAAAAATAAGGTTCTATGAAAAACAAAGAATGAATTAAAAATATTTATTGTTCGGAGTTACAGTACAATCTATTAAATACTATTTTATTAAACCAGTACAATCTATTAAATACGAACGTATACTGCAAGTTTAATGTTTTCCCTGAAAAATGCGTATATTACTTGTGAAAATTTAAAGCTTTTCATAAGTGAAAAAATTTCTTACTATTTCTATATTTTTCTGTAAGCTTTAAACATTACTTTTATTTTTTGAAAATTTCTAATTGTTTATCGAATAACAATTGATACCAAAGTTTCGTTAAGAAACTTAAATAGAAGAAACTTCCTCAACGATGGTGTGTTAATAAGAACAAGTAGTAATTTTGAACCAATGAATAGATGCGCAATGTGAGTTCACCATTAAGGCATTTCCTGAATATAATCATTGTATAATGGCCACTGAGTAATTATTTTGCCGTCATTTTAGGATCCATTAAAGTAATTATATCATTATGACATGAATTTAGTCTCATCATTATAATGTAAGCGTAATAATGTAATTCTACCTGACTGTAAATACGATAAGACTTTGTAAGCACTTTTAATGTAAAACTACCTGAAAATCTTTCATAAATCTTAAAAACATTGAAATTCATTCAAGCGGTGTTTTACATCTTGAAATATGCCTTATATTTCGTTTATTCTTGCCATCTTCCGACCGATTAAAATAAATCAAAGTATAAAGCGGTAAAAATTCGGGGTTTATCCAGTCTGACGTTAAACAGGCGCTTTAAAACAATTTAAAAAAGACAGTAGACAATCGACATTTAATGACAACATCCAGTGTTGTTTGTCTGTTGTTTTTCTTCTTATTTTTAATAATAGCTAGCGATAATAACGCAGAAACGGTAGAAATTTAAAGTGGTATTTCAAAAGTAAACAGAGATTTAAATTTTAAAATTTAAAAAATTTAATTGCAATATTGTTTTTAAATATTTATAATTTTATAATATTTTTATATAAAAAAATTACAAAATTCAGAGTTTATTTTGTAATATTTGAATTGAATTTAAAAATTCGAATTATTCGCTTTTAAAGTTCAATATTCGATTCGAATCGGTAAGCATTAATGATTTTATTTACATAAAATTATATTTTTAATTTAAAATCAAATAATAAATTTTTCCAATCTCCTTAACAAGCGATACGAATTACCTTCATAGTGTTCAATGAATAATTAGTATTTAAGACTCTAGAAATAAATATTATATCTATACATATGTCAAAAACAATTTAGGTACCACCACTGAAAGAGTTTCTGTAGTCATTTGCTTTTCACACAAAAACTATTAAATAAATATTTATTGTATGTAAAATACAGTCGACCCCCCTATAATTACGGTCCCTATAATTACGATTCCTATAAAACTACGAAAAAATATACGTATTTTGGAATAGTTGAGTCGAATTAGTGTAGAATCGATTAATTTTATGGAAGAAAACCTTTCAATCAGCCGTAGTCCGTAAACNGATTAGTGTAGAATCGATTAATTTTATGGAAGAAAACCTTTCAATCAGCCGTAGTCCGTAAACTTGACACGTGTCCGGCTGTGATTGGAACGACTTGTAAGAAATCGGATTCCTAATAAATTGGAACGTATCTATATCTTATAGGAGGGTCGACTGTACTGAACTAACTGTATTGTAAACTAATTATTATTATTAAAACAATAAAATTTGTGGCATTACGTTAAGTTGTTGACTAACGTAGAGCTGGTAACAAATTCACCATGGCTTCGTCTAAATGAAAAGTGAAGTCATTTCATGTGACGTCAGCGTATATCGGCTCGTTCTTCCAACAAGAAATAATAAACCGATAACGGCGGAGTGAGAATCTATAAATCGTCACGTGACTTTTGTCATGAACTTCGGGAAGACGAATACACTAGGACTAGCGAGCCCAAGTGAGTGGAAGATTGGACTGCCTCTCCCCAAGAATAATTGGAAAAAGCAAAGAACGGGATTCGATCAAATAGGGGGTGTTTTGGTTAAAGGTTTCATTAAAAAATAACAAACAAAGATTCGTTGTCCCGTGAGGACAACCGAAAAATTAAGCCGGCAGGCGAGGATGTTAAAAGGGATATTCGAATATTTTAAATAATAGATTATTTAAAATATTAACTACCTCTTACGCAATTTAGAATATCTGAAATCCAAAAAGTGTTTTAATATTTGAAATCCGATATTAGAATGTTTGAACGTTCGCGTGAAATCGGTTTATTCTTCGATATTCGAACGCAGATGTTTTCATAATAAAAGCTCTTAAAATTCTACGAGCAATTTTTCTAGATTTTGCATAAATATCTATGACTGAGGTAAGTCAGTAAAACTTAATTATAGAGTATTGATTATGTTCTAATAAGAAATTCAATTTTCACAATCGCCATAAATGAGGGAGTAGGTTGATGAAACAGGCTAAGAAATACTGGTACGAACTTCCTTCCTGGAAGACTTTCTATGGTATACTGGTCCTTACGTACGTATTAGATGCACGAACCATAATCACAAACTTCCATATGATCAATTTCTTTCTCGAGTGGATCGGTGATACGCAGTGGCTATACAGTATACATTTTATCATGGGTGAATTCTTCATACTTCATTCTTTTTATTTTTCTTAGTCAATACGTTCCTTCGAAAAGTTTTATTAATAATTCTGTTATGTACACAAATTTCGTAGCGATAATTTTGCTATTTTTTAGATTTCAGATTCACATTTGTTTTGATTCCATCAATCTTCTAGCTGAAATAAACATACATATTCTATAACTGCGTACCTCTACATTAGCACACAACATACTGTAATTGATAAATATATTCTGAAGCTTTTTTAATAAATATAATTTGTAACGTTGCTGTAAAATATGATATGAGGAAAGAGTTAATGAGACTACTTTTGATCAGTCAAATATGTATTAATATATTCATAGTATGATATATTTTAGTGATTATTCGTATGAATAAAATACGAAATTTTATTGTAATCATTATTTCCATTTTATTATTTCCTTGTTTATTCAAGTAGAATAATATTTTCGAGATGGCGACTGATAAAACTTCAAGCGAAATTCCTGTCATGTCGAATGATGACGATACTCGAATTAGATTTCAAGTCATAAAGGTAAGTAAAACTTCTTCACTACATTTTATTTATACTCTTTGAATAATATTAGATTTTTCAGTGGAATGCCATAGCTTCGTGGAATTGGGGTAAGATTTCATTATATTACTAATCTATATTGTAATATGTTACTAATGCTATTTTCGTGATATCCGCTGTTATTATTTATCTAACGCACCTTTATTTCGAATTTCAGTCACAGAAATGGAAATTTGTGCCATTTGTCGATGTAAAATCTCGGATTTATGTAGGCAACAACGACGTTGATTCGAAGTATTTTATAATTGACATTACATAGATAATTTGCAAAAAAAAAAAAACATTTTTTTTTAGGTATCGAATGCTTAGCTCAGAAAGATGATGAAGGTGAAGAATGTCCCGTGGCTTGGGGAAGTTGCAATGTAAATAAACCTTATATTTCGTAACATTCGTTTTTTTACCTGCGTAATTACATTTGTTTAATTCATTGTTTTCGTTGTTTACTTCTAGCATGCATTTCATTTCCATTGCATTTCGCGTTGGCTGAAGAAAAGACAAGTTTGTCCTTTAGATAACAGAGAATGGCACTTCCAAAAGTAACTTCAAATCACTTAATCTCGAACATTGTAAAGTTAAAAATTATGTATTAATGTAATATTTTTCTTTGTATTAGGTACGAGTGATGAAGGTCTTTTATTTAGAAAAGTGACAATGTGTATTGTATGACATTTTGTACAAAGACGAAATTCGAAGAAGAAAATATTTTACAAAACCGATTGATTTTCACGCGTTAAATAAATAAATAATCATTAACAGTGAAAAACTGTTTGTATTTTCTGTTTTTCGCGGTAAAAAAGTTATAAATTCAGTGATTTTATTTTTTCTTTAACAATAATATTTTATATTTTTTCTGTTAATCTGCCCATTGGTTTTAATTTACGTTAACTTGATTAATTAGTAAAAATTCTTTTTAATACAGTGGGTGTGGGTGATCGGTTAACGAACATCTGTTCCAAGACTTTGTTCGTTAACCGATTATCGATTTACCGTAAGTTTTATTGGAAATTTAATTAATTCGTTCTGGAGACCCACAAAAATAAAAAAATATATACACTTTCTTTGTACGTTTATTTATATGTAATAATAAAAGTACATACATACAGTCTTGCATTTTTATTAGTCATGTTGTTCCGTTTGAAAGGGTTAAATAAGATTGAACAGTGTGAGATTAGCCGGGGTACTCTTCCACTAGGATTGTTAGTACCACTTAATCGGCGCTAGTTGGTAAAACTAGTTCTCGTAGTTTCGGGTCGTAAGATCCTATCTCCATACTTTTTATAGGAGGGCTGTAAAATGTTAAATAGGATATAGACGGCGAAGTCTCTATCTAACGTCAGGATAATGACACCAGTTAATCAGCTATTTTACACGCGGATTAACACGCGTTACTGAGATTCGTATTAAAATTTTACTGCCCTGGAGATTGTAATATACAGGAATTCGTCTCAGATATGCAGGGCATTGTGGATACTTTTTCCAATACTTATTTCGTTCTAGCTGGTGATACCAACTCACATTCCCCTTGCTGGGGGGGTGACCGCCTTGATCATCGTGGTAGATGTTGGGAAGAATTTTTCGCACGAAATGGGTTGCAGATTCTTAATGACCC